GCGACATCGGAAGACAACTTTGGGATATGCCAAACATGGAGGCTTATGCTGGGAACGATATAGGTGCCCATGTCCCACTTTCATAAAGGGCACTAGCCTTATAGAGAAGGCCTTTTTAGAAGGCTAACCCCCCCCCCCCCCCCCACACACACACACACACACGGAAACTGGCTCTAGAGCAGGATTTCCCCCCGGAAAATAGGCTAAAGAGTAGGAATTCCCCTATTGTAAAATGGCTCTGGAGTAGGATTTCCATAGGGGGAAACCCTACCCTGTGTATTAGTTATAGAGTGCGATTTCCTCCAGAACCAATCCCCCCAATAAAACATCATGACTTATACTTATGTATGAGGGGAAGAGGCGACACATTGTTACAATTCTACCTTCTTCAAAATGGCGACTAGTTACTGTAACATTTAAACACACGAAGTATGAAAATTAAAAATCTTAAATCTTATTTTTCTCAGACACTGTCCAACTAGTTTTAGAAGAATCAATTTTTTTTCATCAGGTCAAACTGGTTTCTGAAAATAAATTGGTAATAAGGTATTGGTTGGGCAAATTTTGACTGTATCCATAGAAACAAAAAATGAATTTTTTATTTCAAATGGATTTTTTTTCTCCAATGTATTTAGCGCTCGCTCCGTGATCGGAAGATCGGAAGGTCGTGGGTTGGAGCCCCCGCCGCGACTGACCTAAGTCGATAAAAAATAGGTAGCAACTGTTCCTTCGTCCTTTGAAGTGAAAGTTGCAGGTCCTTCGGATGAGACCTTAAAAAACCGACCCCCGTGTCACGACAAGCGTTGGCACGATAAAGATCCCTCACTGCTCAATGGCCCTGAGTGCCGAGTAAAGGTCTAAATTTGAAGCCCTTCACCGGTATATGGTGACGTCTCTATATGAGTGACAAAACAACATACATACATCAATCTCCAATGTATTTCAAACAACATGTACATAATATTGATATGTAATTGCCATGGAACTAAAAATTGGTTATTTATTTCAAAATTTTGAAAATTTGCAAAATTTTAAAAGTGTTTTTGCTTAACTGCTTTCAAACCCAATATAACGCTGCTGGGGTTGAGAGGACAGGACATACATGGATAAAATACTGGGCATACAAATTGAGATACATTTGAAAATTCGTGAACAAATAGGTACCACTGCACCGAGAGAGAGAGAGTTGAGACATCGAGTCATGATTTTTTGAGTGACTTACTTTACAATTTCCTATATACGAGTTAAAATTTATGGGCTGACACAATGATTTGAACTATATATTTTAAAGACTTCATACTAAATTTGACAATTGTTGAGTAGAAAACACATATTTCCATTAAAAAATCAGTTGACTTCCATATAAACTTTTAGCCAAAATATTGTTTATATGATTTAAGCATTGATTAAAAAAAAGGGGGGATCCTACTCTGATACTCTGAAAAACAAAGACGGGGAATTTGGCTCTATTGTCAGATTTCCCTTCAGGGGGAAAGCTGGCTATGGGAAAATTTTATTCCACACACCGGAATTCGTGCAGTATACATGTATGCTTATCATTCGCAATACAGCGAAGAAATTCCGGGCATGAACTGGAGAAATTACTACGATCAATTCCGAGTACGTCAAGCAATTTCTTACCGAAATTGGTAGAAATTAAAGAACTACACATGCTAACTCTCGATTCCCGCTTATATTTACGCCTATTTAAGTCAATACTAATGGCAATCTGGCCAAAAAATCTTTTTTGAATGCAAAGAAGAGTTCAATGGAAATTGATTAATAATTTTACTACTAGTGTCAAATAGTTAATTAATCTTAATTTCAACTCTTCATAAAGGGGGTTTTCCTTGAAATCAGACTCTAAAGCATCACCAGATTTTAAAATATTCTTGGATATGGATAAATGACCCTTAAATCTTTTCTTATATTTAACTTATGTAAAATTACACGTATATGATTGAAAAAAAAATACAATGTTTAAGTTGTACACCTCTTTGAAATTGGTGAAAAATGATCATTTTTGTTGTTTTTTTTTTGGCTGTAAACATATCCCCCCCCCCCCCCATGAAACAACAAAAGCTTTGGTATGAACTTGTTACATAACAATTCATTTTACCTGTTAAAAGGAATTTTTGTTTCACGGGAGGGGGGGGGGTGGTTAAAAATTATTTTCCGTTTTCCATTGATTTCTATAGTGAAAAATACAAGTTTTACCAAAATTATAGACTTATCTCTCTCTATTTTTCCAAATAAGTTATGTTTTGTGAAAATCCATATGAATATGTATATAAATATGAAAATCATTCAGATATGCTAACTTGGAGGTAGGCGGCAGAACAATACAGTAACTATCGTTCGCAGTTCTTCAGATTTATAATTGCGCTTGATTGCTGTCCGTCCCCAGCCCGAATCTACCCATGCTGCAGCTCACGTGCCAACCCAAATGGTGTCTGTTTTAGCTAAAATAGGGGCCGATTCAACATAGCCAACTGCGGATATGCGCACTTAATATGTTCTATATGTAAGGAAAAGCATCCGAAATAGGCTGTTAAAAAATAGATAATTTTTGTACCTCAAGGATTTTGAACAACACACCTGCAACCAACAAAAAAAATTGAAGTATCAATTCTCCTATTAAAACATCAGTTTTATTAAATATATCCACAGAATATTGGCGAACAGGGCGTGTAGATTGCCCGTAGTTTCAGATGCATATCAATGATCATATTCAATAGTTGCATAATGAGTCAAAACCATGTGTTTCTTTTAAGAAAATTTTATCACAAAACAAAAGATTTCCGTGAAATATGAATATAGCGAAGTTTTGACAATTTAACTGCACTGTAAAGCAAAAAAAAAAAAAAAACAAACAAACAAAAAAAACCTGCATAATGTAAGTGCCGGAAAAACAAAATTAATGTTGTATCTATCGCTTTGTTTTTATCGTCAATGTCAACAATGTCAAGGTCACGCGTCCTTTATTTTTAGCATGAAACTTGTAAACAACATTGAATTGGGGCAAGCAGAAGTAAGGAATAAGTTATTATAATCTTTTTTGAAGATTATATCAAATTTCTCAGTCATCCGACATTTATATCTATGGAATTGAAACCATGGTAAATTCTTCAACTTTTCAGCGCATGCGTACAATAAAGAGGAAGAAGTGAAGCAATATTTTTGTGATGGGTTATACAAAGATTTGTTTTACTTTTATTTTTCTCCATTAAATTAGATTTTTTTAGGTTCTGAAACCTGTAATTTTCTTAAACCTAATATCTTCAAGAACTGAACAAAATTTGCATTTATCATGCAAAAATTCTATGTTGTCAATTTTCCCGTTTGTCCGTCAGTGTCAGTTTAAGTATTTACAGATAAGTTATTATTGAAATTTATGAAATCTATGAAGCTAAAGTAAACAAAACTTTCTGCGACAAATTTTCTCGTCAAAAATTATTCTATTATCAAAAAAATATAAAGTGGTATTCCCGGGATTCGAACCCTAGCAATAAAAATCCAGAGTATTATTGAAATTTCTTTGAGACTAAAACGTTTACCACTACGCTACAAAACTCCTGAAAAGTAGTGGTATTTAAATCATGTTTGTGATATGACTCTTGACTAAAGTTCACCTCTCATTCCCTACCCATTCCCTACACCCAGAATTCTGTTAATGACTTCATTAACGCTTCGCTCTGTTCCGTTACATGTAACGCATATTCTGAAGAAACTATTAGCAGGATGGGTCATCAATAGCATGATGGGGTACGGATCAGATATCAAAAGTGCATTCAGCTTATTGCCCATTTGGCCGGGTGATTTCGAGCATCTGGGTTTCAAATTCGGCGACTGTCATTATTTTGACAATTGCTTATTCTTTGGGTGTTTGATATCCTGTTCTACATTCAAGAAATTCTCTTCCTTGATCGAGTGGCAAGCGCGCTGCTACTACAGAAGCCTCACATTATTTGGATGATTTGTTCGGTGTGTAACCGGAAGTAGAACTCTTTAATGGATAAATTAACAAAGTTACTAGCCAACTTTGCTTAAAGCAGTAAACTATCTCCAGATATGTTTGTCAACCCAGGTAAGAGGATATCTGAACTATGATCAACGCTAAATGAAAACACAGTTGTAAGTTTTAGAAATTTAATAACGTGAGAATTAACCTTTGCAAATAATAACAAATAATAAATA